TCATTTGTAGTCCAGTGAGAGTCCTTTAGTGTGTATATATATTTATTTATTGTTATAGACTATATACCTATTGTTGGGGTTATCTAGGATGTATCTGCGTATCGGGTCTCTGCTTGGACTGTAATAGGGTAGAACTTGTTTGTGGGCTTGACCCATCATCATTTTTTAGGTATTCGTCAGGAGTAGGGATTGTTTGTGCTGAGCAAGGATCGTCTACTTCATTCTTCCGGATTATTTACCTAGAAGTTTCTTTATGTTTCAGTGTTCTGATGTAGTCACTTGTTCAGTTGAGATTTTCTAGGGGTCCACATGCTATGGATTCCCAAATTGTATTAGTATGGAAGGATTGGATGTACCAGAATATTTTCTTATTTATAAAAAATTTATTCTGAGAATTTCATTATTGGATTATTGTTTTAGTTTTCTTTCAGCCATTTTAATTATTCCTATTTATCATATTTGTATTATGTGTTCGATTATTGCCATTTGTTTTGATATCCTCAGGTATTCGGGCATGGGCTTGGCCAACCCACATCTGGAAATCCGGGGGTATCTCAAATACTACCCTAGTGCGCACTATAAAATGGGGAGAATTCATACCTCCCGCACTAGAGCCAAACTCTAGCCATGTCTTTGTAACAATGTCCCAAGAGAATTCAAATTCATAATTAAGTTCAAAACTTCATATACGATAATTAAGGCATGTAAACCACCTTCCATGCATAAGAAATTTCAAATCACACAGACCATGTCTTAGGGTTCTAAGTCTAAAATAGCATACCAAATGACAAGTCTCTATCATGATATAATGTACAATATAATACTATCAACTTATCTATTTAAATCATGTCTCAAAAATAAGCTTTATATATTAGATTACAACATTGTAGTAATAGGTTTCTAAAATAATTACTAATACTAATCAACAAGAATATAGAATTATCACCACAATAAATATAGCAATTCAAGTCAATAAGAATTGTATATAACATTAATAATTCTACACAGATAAATACATATCAGACATGCTTAAATCAATAAATCCTAAGTTAAATGTAAGGATTTCCTACAATATGTAAGACTAAAAGTATGTACACAATATATATTAAACCCCAAAGGGACATGAAACACTTAAAGTATAAACATACTACCACCCTACCTTAATAGAGAACTGAATCTCTATAATCCAAAGCAACCAAGCTTAAAATGAAAAACTAAATTAGGGTTTTGTAGAGGAGAGTGAGAGGAAACTTTTACTTCCCAAGGTTAAAGGTCTAAGGTGAGTGGAAGGAGGCCAAAATGCAATGATAAGCCCTAAGCCAAGCTTTTCTTCAATGGTGGCTAGGTTAGGGTTTTGAGAGTAAAGGGAGTGAGGAAGATGAAATGAAATGTGGTGAGTGGAGGATTTAGTATTCCTCCACTCACTATGTGCTCTTACACTACCTCTCACACACACACGCTAATGCAAGACTTAATTTGGAATCTACATTTGTCACTAATCCATAACTTCTTTTAAGACTTAATCCTACACCTACACTTATCAACTATCCAAGCCAACATGTGCACCTATCATAGGCCAACAAGTGGGTAAATCTCCACCCTCCACATGTCAAAAGATTAAGCTTCCAAGTAACTCCACCCCAATGCCAACAAGTGGTTCCATGAGAGTGTGACACTTGTCACACTTCTCGAAAATTACAAAAAGGTCTTTTTTCAAAATATCTTCCAAATTAAATTATAAAATGGTCCTTAAGACGAAAAATAATTATTTTACATAATTACACTAAAATCTCAAAAATCAAGAATATTTTCAAGAAATTATGCGTCCATGCCCTTTATGAAAAAAGTAAGCAACTAACATGTTTTCCTATGAAAGTAAAAATACAAATATCTTAGAAATCAAATATTATGGATGCATGCAAAGCTATGATCAAATCCAAGCATAAAAAGTGTTGTTATGCAAAGGAAAACGATAAATGGGAAAAAGATGAAATAAGGAAAAAGATGAAAAAAGAAATTATCGAAAAAAAAGAAAGGAATGAAAATGACTGGGTCATTACATGTTTACTTATGCTAAACATTCAATGACATTAGGCTATGTTTCGTTCAAGGAATAGAATAGACTAAAATAATTATTTCTCATATTCTACTATTTGGTCACAAACATGAAATTATATATATATATATATATATATATATGTATATGTATATTAAAAAGACGTAGAAGAAGAAATGAAATGGATATATTTTAAGTAGAGTGGAGTTATTGGGGTTATAAAACAGAGAGATAGAATGGAGAATATGAATTAAAAGATATATTCAAAGTTAGAAAATTGAGGGTAAAATTAAAAAAAAAAAAAAAATTTAATTCGATCAATAAAAGTAATTTTAATTCTTTATTTTGGGTCCAAGTCGGTTGAAAGCTTTTAGGTTCCTTTGGATTGAAGTATTCTAAAAGAAGGGGTGTGGGTTCAATGTTGTAATAAATATAGTTTGATGAATTTCAAATGAATGGATATTAAGATAATTACACGTTTGGCTATCAAATAGTATGGTGCTTATAAAGAGTTTATTTGAAAATCATGTTAGCTAATTTCCACAGCCAACCTTTTTATGTAAACTCAAATTGTTTGATTTCAAATCTATTAAATTATCCACTGTGTGTCCTTACAATGCTGAAACATTACGAATGGATTAAAAATTTGTCTCAAAAGGAAAGACGGACAACTAAATTGGGACAGAGGGAGTACCTGTTAAACTCCCCAAAGTTGTTCACCAATGGTTTTATGCCAGTTGGTTTAAACTTTTGATTAACTTCACTAATCAAAAGTTCTTTGTGTTTTGAAAAGATATAGGTCGTTTATTATTAAAGTATAAGGCATGCTTTATTTATGATGGCGAACGTGATACTAGGTTGTTGATTTTTACACTGATAATTATTTAATTACATGCATAATAAGTAGAAAAGGTTTTAAGCGTATAAGAAATATTTCAAATGACTCAATGAAAGTAAAAATTCATACTAATTTGATTGCAGGTTTTTGTCATTGTCAAATTATATTTCTTTTGAGAATCGGGATTTTATCTTAATTTTGTATGTGAGTATATGGCTGAAACATTATGCCTTAGGTCTTTTAGTGTTGAAAGAAGGTTTAGGATTTCGATTTCAATTGAGTCTCAAAGGGCCGCTGTTACAAAATTTGGATTAAACCTTTTTTGAATGTGGTGCATGAAAAACTCCTATAAAAGCATTATGAGGAGTTATTGTTTATTTAGAATAATGGTTGAGTTACGATAATTCAATTGATAATGATTCTTAGATAATTATAGCTAGGTTTATATGCATAATCCAATATTTATCTAATTCATTTTAGTAATCTGTTGCGCATACTGATTGCCAGCCTATATTTCCTTGTTTATTAAATATTATATATTTCCTTGTAAATATCTCCACACACCATCCTTAGATTTTCTGCTCTCCTCTTGGACTAAATTAGTTCTATCTTCTTGGAAGTCTTACTCATGAAAAGAACAATCTCGTGTTGGAGATCTAGAGAGTAACTTTTGGAAATGATAATTCAAGAAGTCTCATGGCACATATGTTGATCCTGGTAGTTTTAGCTTTCCATTATATGTGAAGCTTTGGGGATTGATTCGAGATGCCCCAACATTTCTTGCACGTTACGTATTAAGTGAATTGCATTGCACGTTTATTATATTAATTTTGTTCCTTGGGTGATATGAATTAGTTTACTGTTTTGCATCATACTGTTGGAGTGCTTTATACATGTAACCATAATAGTTTATAAATTTAAATCCTAAATTCCTAATTATATCAAGTGTAGTAAGCCTAGGGGCATCGGGCTTAATATAGGTACAAACAACCTATATGGCTATATCTTATTGAATGAATCTTGGGGTGAAGGAACAAATATGTTGAGCGATGCTTATTCTTTATAATATGATTTGCCATTTTGAGCCAAAAGTTATTTACATCATCGTTCCAATCCCATTGCTTTCCTTATAAGGCTTATTCTTTAAACATGGTTGTATTTACTACCTTTTAATTCTTTCCACTTAACGTTTATATATCCCTTTTTATACTAAAACCTTTCAATTAATATGTCTAAAGTTAATAAGCGATGTTGGTTTGTGAGTACTCCCCCGAGAATTATTATGCAATCTTTATATGTGGCCCATTCCCTTCTTTTATACAAGCTTGCGCTATATATGTTTCACTTTCAAATGTTATTAAATGTTCTTTTCTTTTTTAAAAAAGTGTTTGCTATCGCTAACTTGCATGTTTTTGCAAATTCTAAAAGTGTTTCACCTATCTCATTACGTTCCCGAAAACAATATCCTCCATGGATACATATAGATCATATCCTATCCACACCTCATTGTCCATTAAAATCACCCTTTACAAATGTGTTTTCATGATTAGGTAGAGATTATATAAATTCATCTAACGAGTCCTAAATAGTTTCTTTGTGTTGTCATCTAATGCTCCTTGAGGCACTTACGCACTTAATGTATTCAAGATATTTTCATCTAAGACAATTTTAATAGTTATTTATTCATTTGCTTGTCTTCTCACATCTACTACTTTATCCCTCGTGTAATTACCTACTATTATACCTACTATGTTTTGTTGGTTATCTTTCCCTTCCGAGTAAAAAAGTTTTTATCATTTCCCTATTTCCCAAGCATTTTCACCTTTCCATTATGCTTCATTCTATAGGAAGGGAAAAAATTGGATGGAGGGAGCGAATAATGGATAGATGAGACATCCGTAGAGAAGAGATTGTGTCCTTCACTCTTTCCCCCTTTTTGTTGCGTTGGATGGAAGAGAAGAGAGTAAACTGGATTGACTGTGTTTGTTAGGAAAAAAGGGAAGGGAGAGTTCTAATTTACCCATAGATCCAACCACCCAAGAAAAGCGCCGCAACACCACCACCACCACTACCACTAGCAGTGCCAACATAGGCCAGCTCCAAGACATGAGATGCACGGGTTTCATCCAGTGGGTAGAGGATAGAGAGGAGCAGGGGAGGGAACAAGAGGAGGATGACAAGGAGTACTTTAAGTACCACAAAGCATTGCCGTTGTCGGAGATAGAGTTGGTGGACACGAGGAAGCCGGTCACTCGGGCCATGGATGGGTTTGCAGATTATTACTATAGAGGAGAACGTGTGGTGCTATGGAGGCCGGAGCAGCTTGACACTGCTGAGGAGGCGCTCATGAGGGCTACTCAGATATGGAAGCAGGATGAAATGAGGGGAGATCCGGATTCTCCACATGGTTGGGTTCTCAGAGCCCTTCATGGTGAAGATTGGTGATATATATATATATATATATATATATATATATATATATATATATATATATATTCTACTGAGTTTGGAGTGGGGCTTTACTAATTTGATTTAATTATCGAGTGTGATTGTAAAGTGCTCCTTGATTCAAAGAGTCCTCAAAGTTGCATCGCTGCTATTTGGGAAGATATTAGCTTTTTGCTTTCTCAGTTCGAATGGGCATCCTTAAATTGGGTTGGTAGAAATGATAATTCTGTTGCTCATGTATTGAGTCATCTGGATTTAAAATTGAGCCATCTGGATTTAAAAGAGAAAAGTGATATAATGCTTGATTTTGCTATCCCTACGGTGATTCAAGAACGGCCTTGGTGAACTGCCAAAATATGTATTGTGTTTTCCTTTTGAATCAATGAAATCAACTTTTTTGCCTTTGAAAAAAAAAATATTTATATATTCTACTGAGTTTTTTTCTTTTTCTGAATTGCTGATCTTCTTGTACCATATAATGTAATACATCTATGGGTCCCTAATTCCTTATTGTGTTTAGTTGTACCGGTAGAATGGGTATGAATGACGAGATGATTATTGTTATAGAGTGTATTTATTTAGAATAGGTAAAAGGACTTCCTTGCCCCTCGGGTGATAACTTCTTTATCGGTCTTATAACCGCGGGTTAGTGTTAATTTATTATATTATGTATTCCCTCCGTCCTTATTATGGGACAAAAGGAGTAATCGATACTATCGAGTAATATAAAATATTTATGAGGAATAAAAAATTAAAGAATGCTGTTATATGGGTAGAAGCTTAAGTAATAGGTTTATTTGGGGAATATGTTCTAGAATAGGGCTGGCAATTGAGTTGATAATGAATAAGGGAGTGAGTGAGGTTAATTAATTTATTATCACTTTGTTTAAGGTTATTTAATTTATTATCACTTCATTTATGATTTATGATGAATATTAAATGGACGAGTCAATTTACATCTAATTTGAATATTTTTAAACATAAATTATTAAATTATTTTGGTTGTGAAATATTAAAAATATATATATATATATATATAATAAAAATATTATGGCAATAGTTTGTTTATTCATTTTTTGGTCTCTTTCGTTTAAAACTATACGAAAAAAACAAAACAAGACAAAACAAAAGCTCCTTCACAGATTTACAGTATCAACCATGGATTTAGAAAACAAAAGTATTAACCATGGATTTAGAAAACAAAGATCTAAGAAACGCAAACATCAAGAACTCCAATACCATTAATAAGCTTATTCAATGAGCCAAAGGTTTCTTGTCTTGGTGTATTCAACACTCCTCCAACTCACCGATTTGGGTCATTTGACTATGTGTGATACCGACTTATCCAATGGTATTACTTGTATTATTTCTTATTGACTGAACTAATTTCTTCAATGATATTTAAGTTGATTCAGGTTTTTAGCTGAATTTTGTTAAGGAAGTGATGTTAAGCGTAGAATAAATCTCACAAACTCTTATGTTGCGTTTGGAAAGATCGAAATCTCGCAAACTCTTATGTTGCGAATCGGTGGCTTTAGAATAGGAATTGAGGAATATTTAGTTCAAAATAGGTATTGAAGAATATTTAGTTCAAAATAGTCTTCAATTCCACATTTAAGGAGCGGTTATTTCGATACTCCCAAAAATAAGCTGAAACAAGAATAAGGTCAATGTCTATTTACACTGGGAAATTTGAAACACAAAAGTCACAACTAATTAGGATTCATGTATTTTTCAAATAAACTTCAATACCATGTTCATTCTGAATATATATATATATATATATATATATATATATATATATATATATATTACATAAACATTCGAGAGGAGCACCAAATTATGAGAAATGGCCTTCTGTCGTTGGGATCTTTGCACTAATTAATTAATTAAATTAGGAAAAAAAATATTCCTAGAAGAAGGGGTAATTTACACAGACCTCCCCTATGGTTTGCCATAATTACAGGCACTACTTGAACCTCCCCTACTTTTTAAAATATCCTACATGGACCTCCCTTCTGTTACGGTCAACGCCAGTCAACGACGGAAAATGATGACGTCAGCTACTATTTTTTTTGAAATATCGCAAATACCCTTGGGTATATGATATTATATATATATATATATATATACACACACACACACACACACATACATATAAGACCCATTTTGTAACCGTTATGCTACAAAACGGGTCTCTTAGGGCTGAAGAGAAGAAGAAGACGAAACTGCTGCCGTTGTGAGAAGTTGCTGCTCTACAAAGGTTGTGTTGTGCAAATCAAGTGTTGGGAGCTTTGGAGAGGAAGAAGAAGAAGAAGATTGTTCTGGAATTTGAAGAAAAACGATGAAGAAGAAGATTATTCTTCTGTCTGCAACTTAGGGCTCTATTTGGGTAAGTTATGTTCATCTAGAAATTAAAGGCTGAATTCTTAGCTTCGATTTGTTATCTTCAAAACAAATATCTGGATTTTCAATTTGGTTATTCAAAAATCTGAAAATTTAATTTTTGTGGGTTACGATTTGTTTTTCAAAAATTTGGAGAATAGCGAAGGTCTTGTGGGTTACGAGTTGTTCTTCAAATATCTGGATTTTCGTTTCTTTTTGGAAACATGTCTACTAGTTCAAAGGGAAAAGCTTCAAGCTTGGGTGATTTAAGGTACATGGATCTGTATTGCAAATGTAAATCAAAAACAAAATGTGTAATTAAGGTAATAGGTTCTAATGATTATAACAATAATGGGAAGTTGTATTATGTTTGTCCAACTAGAAGTTGTGGTGTTTGGGAATGGTGTAATCCAATAACTTGCATTACAGAGGATATGATGGACTTTGCTACAACATGTAATGAAGAAGATGTATTTCCTGAGATTATGACAAATGTTGCTGAGATAAGTTCTGAGATTGGTAAGCTAAGGTCTAAAATTTGTGAGATAAGGTCTGAAATTGGTGTACTAAGGTCTGAGATTGGTGAGATAATGTGTGAAATTGGTAAGATAAGGTCTCAATTTGCAATGTTTGAAAAACCCCTTGGATTCATAAAGCTGCTTATCAATGCAAGTTTATTTCTTGCATTTTTCTCAGTTGTATTCATTTTTTTGTCAGTTGTATATTGAAGGTGGTATGCCTTCAGTAATTATGTTTTATAATGAATGATGTTCAGTTCTTAATGGAGTTCTTAATGAATGATGGAGTTCTTTTGTAATGAATGAAGCTGCTATATGTTTTGCTTTGACAAACTCTGCATTGACAAACTGCATTGACAAAAAATTCAGACCTATATGAGAAACAACCCATAAATATGAACAATTTATACAAACAACCAATTGTCCACAAAACATACCATATAAACAACTGAGTTACCCATAAACATACCATATCATTTACCAATAAAATTCAGAGTTGTCCAAAAGCTATAACAAAAGTCAGTTGTCCAAAAGCTATACCATATATCTGTCTATTCTTTTTGCACAACTGAGTTACCCACAAAGTAGATAAACAACAAAAGTTTCATAAATTGTCCACAAAAAAAATATAGTTAACTGTATTATGGCTGTATTTTCAACTGCCTTCTTCTCCATCTTCAAGTGTCCCTTCCAGATTGGCTGCTTCTTCCAGTAGCTCTTCGAACTGCAAATTTGATAGCATTGGGTCTTCTTGGTTGATTTGATGTTGCAGAGCCTTGTCCAGGTTGGTTAGTGCTTGCAATGCCTTTTCCTGCTTGATTTGACCTTGAGCTTGCATACCCTCTTCCAGTTTGGTTGGTGCTTTTTGATTGATTTGAGGTTGCACACCATCTTCCAACTTGGTTGGTGCTTGCAGTGGCTTTTCTACCTACATTCCTCATTGAGCTTTGACACCCAAATTGAGTAGCTGATGTAGGCCTCATCATCTGTGATTACAATTAAAATAGTCTATTTAAGAAAAATAGAAAAAAAGTTAAACTTTTTTTTTTTATTTAAAAAAGTTATACCTCTTCTGTTAAACTGGTAAAACTTGAACTTCCACTTCCAACTTGACTTCTTCTTGGTGTACTTGTATGTCCCTGCAAGTTTCTATATACTGTCAAATAATGTCACAAGTTAAAGGGCATTAACTCTTCAGTTAATATTAAAAAATTTATAAGTGATTTACCTGGTTGGGTTGACCTACTTTGCATGTTCTCTTGTTGTGCCCAAATTCTTCACACTATGAGCATTGTAGGGATTTGCTCTTTCTAGCATCATTAGTTGCAGGTGTAGGCTCATCTGCATCTCTAGTCCTGGCTTTTTTTGGTCTGCCAGGCTTTTTCCTTGGAACTGGAGGTTCCACAGGGTTACAATGCACAGGAGTCCACATTCTCTGATCAGGTACTGGGTGAATCATACTAGAATGAGTTCTCATGTATGTTTCATTATAGAAACATGGATCACAGTACTGTTCAATATCTGTTCTTTTGTGTGTTATGGTTACAGTTGCATGTTTGCATGGGAGGCCAGAAATCTGCCATCCTCTACAATCACATGACCTTGATCTAAGCTTCACTATATGTTTTCCTTCCTCATGTATGACTTCATACTCATCTTGCCCTGCTGGGGTAACATTATATGATCTAGACTCGTTGATCAGCTTATTCAATTTTTTCCTAATGTTTGGGGTTACCAATCCTACCCAAGTACTGGCCTTTTCAGCCCTCATTAGGAGTCTGCTCATCAATTTGCTCCTAATACCATCAAGCAGCCCTAAAATATGTTTAGACCTAAGCTTCCCAACCCAATTGTTGAATGACTCACTAAAATTATTAGTGACATGGTCACTCTTCACCTGGTCAGAAAATGCATGCCTTGACCACTTGCACACATCTATTCTTAAGACCCAATTATAAGCCTCTCTTGACACTTCCCTCATTTGCCTCATTGCCTCATTAAATGTGTAATCATTATAGGCTCTAGCTGCCTTCCAGAAAAAAGACTGCAAAAACAATCCTGGATACTTCTTTTTGAAGTTGTTATATAGATGTC